GCGTTCAATGGATATACTATTCATATGTATCCCAACCATCCTTTCATAATGATTTGAATAGTAATGTTGAATACACTCTACTTTCTGATCGCATTCAGCGTTGCACTCATTTTTAAATCCATACATTAGATAAAATGTATAATTATTTAAATTGTCGCGTTTATTATTATAAACTAAATAATAATTTGGGTATTTGTTCTTGTTATACTGGTAATTCAAACTGAGCTTGATAGCGTTTTTTATAATACAGTTTTCAATACAACCATCTCTAGTTTCGCCATTAGTATAACACGGCTTATACCGGGTGTTCACGTATTTAACAATTGTTTGTTTGTATTTAATCCTATATGATGTGTTGCTATTTAGACAAAGATTTAAAGTATTTCTATATTGTATGCTTTGTATTCTATCGTCAGGTGAATGTATGAGTAATTTTACATTGGTATCGGTAACCGTTGCAGTTTCCATATAGTTCATTTGGAAATTTAGTATAGTATGCTCAATATTTAAGTAGTCTTGTCTATAACCATGTAATAAATTATCATGCTCTTTAATTATCTCGGTAAAAAATTGCCAACAGTAGTACTTTCCATCTAGGGCGTTTGTAATATTTGTGATATAACTACAATATATATAAAATCCTGCTTTTGTCATTGCTAAACATATTTGCATTCGAGCTTGGTTTAATCTATCAAATTGTTTGCCAATAGATGTTTTCGCGTTGTAGTGTAAATTATTAACAATTACTCTATCATGATCATTTGGGTTGTGATTTAATAAATATTTTAACATATTTAATTTTTCGAAGCATACTGTAACACCTGGTAATTTTGCTGCTGGCGTTAGCGGCTCGTGTACGACATTAGTTGTGGTTTCGTATGAAAAGTATAATAAACTTATTTTATACGTTTGATACACACATCCCATCAAACATAACACATTACAAATAAATTTATAACTTAAACCCATTGTTAAACTTATTACACTTTTGTATTTAAATAAATAAAAATTTTACGTTTAATTTGTTTATTTATATACAAAATTGTATATTGATGTTCACTATTAATTGTATTTTGTATACACTAAATGTTTATTATTAATTATTATAAATATCTGCTTTTATAAGGGCAGTTTTACCAAAGAATTAATGCTAGATTGTAAAGTTTTATATAAGTTGATGTTTGATACACTGTAACTGTATGATTATAAATCGAAATTAATTGAAAATTTATACATTGAATTTATGCTATAAATAATTATGTTCATTATACTAAATTACTATTATCATTATCTTGTATGCTTAACAACATTAAATCAATAAACAATTTAGTTTACATTAATATTATAACTAGTCGGATATTTACATATGGTATAATAATTATCGATTTAACAACGCTGATTATTTTCTTGTTATCTTATCTTAAATAAATAAAATGACTATTTAATTTTTTCACTTACATTAATTAGTAATTTACATAGACTTACAACATTAATAAGTAATTACAAAAATAATCCACGTTAAAAAATTATCGACAAATAACAATTGGTAAAACAAAATATTGTAAGTCTGAATATACTACATCTGTATATATTTGATTATAACAATTGATTATAATTAGTTTACTTAAACTATTGATTGTATTGAGTACAAATAAAAAATGTATACAAGTTCTCTGTAAGTCAAATCTAAAGGTAAATCCTAATCAATAATAATTATTATTAATTAACTATTTAGTAATGCATTTTGATTTAGTAACAAAGAACATATAACAATTTTATTTACTTAAATATGTGCATATTGTTAAAGCATCTAGCTGAATGAATAACTAAAATTCAATCATATTTATATAACAATTAGAAACATTTTAAATAACAAATAATATCCTTAACAGTTTATTATTATAAAATACTGATTATTAATATTTCTAAAATTAATTTATTAACATCAATGCAATTGCTTTATTTGAAACAGACCAGAGTGGAATGTCTACCTTTTTTGAGTTTGAAGTTATTATTTGGTTACTATGTTATACAAACATGCTAGATATACTTAAAGTCGTCTAATTTCACACAATTGGGACCATAGTTTTCGTTGTGTGAAATTATAGATAGAAATGGTGGGTCACTTTTTCAATTGACTATAAATATACATGGTTTCTAAACATGAATTTTATAATAGACTGTAAATAATGGTTGGCAATGAGTTATCTAAGTAATTCACAAGCCAACATTAACACATTTTGTTAGAAATATATATTTTTATTGTTTAACACTAACTTTTATACACAAACTTGCCTAAAAACGTGAAAAATTGCTTTCATTAAAATGTGAAAATACAATATGCTTCCTATGCACACCATGTTAAAACAATCACATTTATGTGTGAAAGTGACATTATAGATAGACTGACCAGATGAGTTTATGACAATTCTGGATTTTGGGCAAAAACCAGCCCTATAATTCTGGATTCCTGGACATTTTACTAATTTTAGCTATATTGTCCTGGACGCCTCCATAGACTTAATGTTTAAAATATTTGTAAAATTCTGGACAGGCCATCTAATTCCGGGACAATCCAGGCCATTTCTGGACATCTGGTCAGTCTAATTATAGAGCTGTGAAATTAGCCCATACTAAAACATATACCCCAAAATGGTGTTAGTAATCTTCTGTGAATTTAGACAACTTTTGAAATAGTACAATGTGAAAATAAACGACTCTAAGTTTAGTATTTATCTGACAGAGCAGTTATCACAACATAAATTATGAGATAAGTCAAAGAGAAGCACATCGAACACAGTTTAAATATATAACTTAAAAAATTAAACATTAAACATTTTTATATTTATTAAAAATAATTTAATAATTAGGGTAATTTAGGTTTGGTATTGATAGCATCGAGGTTTGCCAACGCTTTAATCAATAGTATTGGCACCGAATACAACTCTGTCTGTGCGGGTGCGGGCAATGTTGGCCAATCGCATTGCTTGGCTGGTAAATGACCGGTAGCGTTTATGTAACTTGTAAATGGTGACACATTTAAGGTGTGTATTAACTTGGTGCTATCGTTCGGCAAACGTTCCCTGGTCATTGTTATCCATTTATCTAAAAAGCTGTAAATATTTTTAATAATAATTAATAAATTTTAAAAATATGAATTAAAAACTAAATATTCAGTAAAGTTTACAGTTTATATTAATTTAATTTTTAAAATGTTTTACTCACCATGTGACATCATTGATTCTGTATTTAGTTCCCGGATCAGATACGTTCAATAGTGCCTTGGTTAATCCTTCGCGCGCAGGTTCTAGCTTATAGTTTACGTCGTGTATTTCTTTGCGAAGTTGTATGTATTTTTCAACTTTAGTCTCACCCATTATATTAGTACACAGCGTGACCCACCCGGTAGTTATATATCTAGCGTATTGGTCAGTAAACTGGTTGACCAAGGGGCCTTTTTTGACATTGCCGTAGTCACCATTTAAATATTTTAAGAAATGCTCGTGTGCACATGCTCCTATCAGGCTATATCAAAAATAATAAATTAAATTTTTATCTAAAATAAATGTTACCAAGGCTTCTTTAATACTTTTATGGTTTAAATATTAAATAAATATTTAACTGACCCTCAATAGGTTTTTAAGAAAAATTATATTGAAAACAATGTTAAATCTCCGTAAAATCAAAAAAGTAATAAAACAATTTTATTAATTACATTATTAATATCTCAATTATGATTAAAATGTAGTTATTTTTATTTAAAAACATTGTTTGCCTTACCTTTGACAATTTAGCTGTAATAGTTCAGTAGTATTAGCAAGTGGGTACTCTTTATCGCCAAACCCATTGAGTGGGCGCAACATTTTGTCAAACGCTATTTCGGAGTGTGTGGTCACTCTACCAACTAGTTTAATTAAATTTTTATGTAAATAGTTTAAGAGGGAACTAATGTTAATTTATTAAGTATATATAAATACTATTATTACCTGTGATAACAATTACAATTATATTTATAATATACATATTAAACATCATTTACACTTTATTAACTTGATCAATTGTTAATAACTTAAATACACGTATAAATATGACACTTTATGCAAGTTAACATACAATCCTCCCGTATGTTGTAAAAAACCAAAACAATTTTAATTAATTAAATAAATAAAGTAATAAAAATTATATTTAATATATAAAAATTTTGTAAAAAAAATTTTACGATGAGTTTATACATTATAAAATATATTTAAAATAAAACATTATTTTATCATGCTGAATGTGATATTATAGCTTAAATGGTTAATTTCATAAAGGTTTTACTGTTAAATAACATTTTTTTGTTAAAATTATATAGATAATAATTATATTATAATATTATAAAATGATGTCTATAAAATATTGTAATATCATAAATAAAAACTAAAACACAATACTTATATTTACCTTAATTGAAATTTGATTACATTCTTATAAAATATTTATTATTATTATTTATTTCATGTCTAAATAATATTAAACAATAATGAAATGTATATTTTAATGACAATATATAATTCGTGTAAGTATTTAATATAAATAATAAATTTATTGCTATATTGCCTATTTATTGTGTATGTCATTAAAACTAAATTGTATTGATTGTTTTGTTAGATATATACGGATAACATTTACAACTAGATTATATTCATTATATTTAGTGTTTTAGCAATGGATAGAAATACAGTTATTTCCAGAATTAAAAGTATTATAAATAATTGTAAAAATATATCGCAATTATTATGTTTGATCGGATGTTGCCTTCAATTACAGCCATTATTAACACAATATTTCTCATACGAGACCACAACTGATGTGCGCTTCGAGACCGAGACTATCA